CTTGGTGGGTGGCTGTTCGTCGGAGCCTCTGTGATATAAATGGCGTGACGGCTTGATCAGGCGAGAAGCAGTGATCCGGTGTCCCTCTGGGAGATGATCGCTGAAGCCTGAAGGAGGTTTCTTTCACTTCTGACCGGTTATCCAATGATAGTCGCGCATGTCCCAAAGCTCTCTTTTCTGTCTTCCTTTTCCGACAGCGCCCTTTTTTCCGGTTCCTCTTTCTAAAAAACGACTTGCGACTGAGGCTAGTTGCTGGGCCACTAGTTGGGCTTCCGTCCTCCCGTAGTGTACGCCATCTGTGTCCATGGTGTTTTGATCATCTACATTTCGTTCTAAATCCTCCTATCGTGCGCGCATCTTCTTACATAGACTTTTGAGTTTGGCGTTGAGTAGCATCGTCACCGCATGCACTTCCTTTCCTTTGGTCACGACTTTCGGGACCGACCAAATAGTGAGTGCCGATTTACGTGAACTCCATCTTTTTTTAAGACATTCCACCACATACCCTGGTTTGTCTCCCCTGAGCAGATCGTTAATCCCCCACATGTAAGATGCACATGCGAGGTATCTTACGGGCATGTTCCTCGTATTCGTCGATCATTGCATGGACTCGTTCAACTGTTGCCTTTCTGTAGAGCAGTGTCTCCAAACAGCTCCTGTTGTTTACCTCAGACTGGAAGAGGTCAGCAATCCGCGCCACATTACTGTCTCCAGCGACCAGGGCTTCCCGTGTCACACCTTGGGGAGGTCTCTGGGGAGGGCTCTTCGGTCGCGGCGTTCCCTGAGTAGTCTCGAAACATCCTGCTGGTCGAAACCGCTTGGATACGCCTCCACTTGCGTCCCTATTTCCGATAGCACCTGGGTCTTTTGCGTCGTGAGGTTTATCCGCGTCTTTGTCAGTCCCTATGTCGCTGCTACCATCTAGTCTTTCGGCGAGTGGATTTAAAGAAGTATCCGACGCTTGCGGTTCGTTGACACCTTCATGGCTATCAAGATACTCCTGGGATGTCCTATTAAATGTAATCCTGTTGTCCAGCTGGCCATGGACATCTTGGACATCCAGACACACACGTGATTCGCACGACTGCTCCTTCGACATCGATGGCAGTGTCTCGTTGCTAGTGGAAGGTATTGCTTCTTGTGATTCAGCCTCCATGACTCAGAAGGCATGGAGGCTGACAATCAACGCCTGCCAATCAACGTCTGCTGCGCCATCTGGCGACGTAGACATGAAGCAGATGAACGGGACCAGAGCGCCTGTCAAACAGCGCAGCAGAAACTACCGCGCCCTAGCGGCGAAAGTACAGAACAGAGAGAAGAGTACGCGGGAGCACGCCGGGATTAGGGCAAGCGAACCATAATAAACGCGAGGCAGGCGTCTTAGAAAGTAACACATAAACTTTTATTTACGTGGCACATAGTAATCTTATTTACAGAAAGTTCTTGGGCGTAACTTCGCGAATGCAGCACAAAGTACACTTGTCGTTGGCGACCACAGCATCGTTTTTACATCAATCTAGAAACGCTGGGGATCCGGTCATCGAGGTCGCCGGCATTATGAATTCTGGTTTTAATCAGACTCGGTAATACACAAAAAAATTCGCTTTGAAAGACTACACCTTTCAAAACTCAAAAAAAAACTGTGAGAAAAAAAAAACAAAAAAAAAAACTCGAAGCTTGCAGTGGATTCTCGTATCACTGTAGGACGCGGTGCAAACGTTAAACAGCTAAATTTCAGTAATTAATGTATGGAACGCAAAAGAACTGTATGGCGTCATTTCTGAACGTCCGGCCTCAGTAGGCGCTCCACGACCTTTACTGTGATTTGACTGGACGCATGCACTCCATGCGCACGAGCGTAGCCTCCTCTATAGTCACAAAGTCTGGCAGTTCGACAACGGTGCCATAGAGCGCCCGGTCGCAGATTTGGAGCGCGAACATCTGGTAGCACAGAGCATCAAAGAGCCACTTCTCGGGGAACCTGGACGTCAGTGCACAGGGTTTGCAGCAACGAGGACCCGAAACACACTTGTTCGCTCGGGAGAGGTGTGTTTCGGCGTCTCGCCGCAGCGGGGCGCCAGTCACGTGGCTCTTCTCTCATCCGTTGTCTGTCGCTCCACCTTTTCCATTTCAGCGGCCGCTTCCCGTAGTGATCTGTCAGGCTTTGTCAGTATATAAGAAGCTATGCTCGTGCACATGGAACTCGGTAACTTTAGCTGCTACGTTTTTCTTTTTCCGAGGCTATAGTTACTATATATGGCGTCATTATAATAAGCCAAAAACTTCGGCGATCAAGACTTACACTTTAATTTTATTTCATTTTTGAATCTATAATGGTTGATCATTTCTAATGTAGAATGTCTGTTTTTAAAAGTGCTATTTAGAGGTAAATAGTTACACAAATTTAAATTTCACCAGAGGAATACGGAAAATTTGGTTATTAATCACGGACTACGTTAGACATATTGGCTGACAAAAATTTAACCGAAAAGTCCTGGTAACGAGTAAAGCGACGAAGCAGAAAACAGGTCCCTCTCACAAATTAACTTTTGTGCAGAGGGTTGGCTGAGGTGTAAGGCAATATTATATTAAAACGATCGTGTAGCTCCCTAAAAAAAAGGCTACGGGCGACAGCGGGTTTTAGGATCGAAAGACGTATATCAAATTAAAACCCTCGACATAACGTTTTTGTGTCAGAAAACCATCCGAATGGTGAAGTTTATTTAATGAGCGATGAACGTGAATACATGGTGAGCGTGTTTTACGATGAAGTCACACGTTGATATCATACTGTCCTAAAAGTGACGAAATGAACACAGATCTGGAATATTTGGTTGGTTTAATAGTTACGCCCTTTCCTAGCATCGACTTTTGCAACTCTCTTTTCTCCTTTTCTCTTCATCTTTGTCTCCCTATGCGACAGTACTTTACAAGATAATTCATGATATAATTTTCAGGTAATTCTCGTTCACCTACGAGTGATGAGTTTGAAAGACGGACAGCATATGTGCTCCTATGTGCAACGGTCAAAGCAGTACCTAAAATTGTCAAGACGCCGATATGTATTGTGCATACGCGATTCAAGTGCCACACTCTTCTCATTGCCCGTAGATGTCTCGCTGTTGTTCAATCAGGTATCAACGTTTTAAAATGGGCACCGAAAAGGCGATGTTCGATTATACGACGGGTAAGTCGGTCGCCGCTTTTCTGGAGGCAAATAAAACAGACCGCATAGATGTTCTGTCGATAAACTTATGGTCCCGACAATTCGCACTTCTTGCATTGTGATTGTTTTTTGGCGTTCTTATCGGAAGATGCCGCAAACTCAATCGCTGTGGAGAGATGCGAAGATGCTCATGACACACCACGTCCTGCGTTCCTTAAAGGCCGACACGGATAGTCGTCTTCTGCGTGGCAGAAAATCATTTCCTTCTCTCCATTCCCTCTCGCTTCCTTCGTTCCCCGTCTCGCCATGAGCGGTTCGCTGAGCTACTCCGCGCAGAATGGATGGGGATCTCCCTTTCTCGAATGAAAAAGATAAGTTAGGGGAAAGTTTCCTCCTTTCTGGCTGCTCGTCGGCCTTTAAGCTGGCAGTGACCAAGATGGGTGGCCCTTATAGCTGGAAAAGTGCACCGTCTGCGAAGTGACAGGGCGAGATTTTAAACGGAGATACGTGCAAAGGCGATTTGGGGGTGCATATTGTATCTCATCGCAACCGTCCAACTGCGGAACACACTTGAGTGCCTGGAGTCGACGAGAACGCATGACAAGGGAACGTCGACTAAGTTGGGACACTTTACAATGAAAACAACGAACGTAGCACTTGAAGTGATAAGGCTATATATACGTACATAAACACGGAACCAGACACCAGTGATGAACTGCGCCGGCTGCCCAGCTGACCAGCGGTATATGCTCTTCGGTCCTGGACGACGTTGCACGAGACCCAGTCTCTCCAACAGTCTATGTATCCAGACTTCGGCCAGATGCTTTACTAGGGAAGATCTATTCCGGTGCGCTCGCTCATTTGGATTAGGCAAAATGCCTGCAGCGCCAAGTACTTTCCTGGCGGTTTGGTCATCTCGTGTCGGAGAGAACGCATGAGCATCGCGCTGTACGCGCTCAGAGTCGTTTTTTCCAAGTCCGACGATAGATGGCGCCACTCACCCCTCCTAATTCTAAAGGGAAACCTCAGAGGCTGCGGCGCATCCGGCCGTTTCAAATACGCAAAACTTGCCCACGCCAAGGTCATTGGATTTTCTCTGAGGGAAATGTAATCCTCTAGTAAAGTATCTGTTTCAACCGTGACAAGACAACACCCACTCTTCTCCATCAGCCATCTCCACCACGCACAGAAATGTCTGTTCCTTCTGGATGTCCCACTGTATCATGAGTCTTACGTGTCCACTGGCAAACTGCCTAGAGTGAAAGTACTTACTCACCACAAAGAGTACACAGTTGTTCAGCCACAAACGAACATCCATTTGTCTCCCAATAAAGCATCTTCTATGTCTATTGGAAAGGGACACAGTATCGCCTTGACATATACCTTGTCACAAAACCAGTTACTCAGGATGGTGGTCACTGATGCGCTGCGGTGGTTCGGATTAACCGAGTTAAAAAAAAAAAAGAGAAAAAGAAAAGAATCAAGCAGCCTTTTTCGTCCTCGAACAGTTCATAAAAGTTGACTTTCGCGCAGTGACTATCGTCACAAATATCTTTAACAGCGATGGCACCCGGACCCCGGGTTGGTACAGGCAATACTGATCTTACCTCGTGAATAGCAAATGGGAGTCCGGGCTGAAGTCACCGTATTCCCGGACTGCATTTGACAGTACGTGTTTCGCACGGTGAGCTATGCTCGGTTCCCACGGGCCAGCGCTACAGTCCTGATACTGACGCCGCAGTTGGGCACTAGCAATAAGATGACCGCAAACTCATCATATGTGTAAGGCCGTCATCTTACTGGTATACGATGAAGCCATCGCGGCTTCGTCTCAGCGTCAGGATTGGCCGCTCCGGGCGTCGTGCCGCGGATACAACGGCGGTCGGTGTTCTCCACACGGAGCTCTTGTCCGCGGACAACTTATGACGACGCCGAGATCTCGGTGGACAACGCTGCTACGACGCACGCGTGCATGACGCCTATACCGCCACGTCGTGCCGGGTACATCCCAGCAATGATCTGTCCGTACACACCGCGTCCGGCTGTCGAAGCGGCGCATGCGCAAAAGCGTCACCTCACGCGAATCCGGTTTCCGCGCACGCGCACTGTCAACAGCTGGTGCGGACGAGCCCGCTTGTTTGGTAAACAGTGCCCGCTGGCCTGTATATATACACACCGAGTCGTTTTCTGCAAACACAATGAAGATGGCGCAGCGTACGCGGGCGCCCGAGACGCTGCGCAGAGTCAAGAGGAGGCTGAAACCGCGGCTCGGACCGCTCGGTCAGTTTCTGTTCCTCTTTGACCAGTTGTCCCGATCCTCGAAGCCCCCGGTGTCCGAGTCGTCCTGGTCTCCCATCATGGGTCTGTGGGCCGGGGTGTCCCCGTTGGCGCGGGGGTTCTGCATCGGGTACCAGCCGCCGTTGATGGTCGCTGCACACGGGAGGGAGAGCATAGGTAATGATAAGGTTGGCGGACCATATCCACCAAATTAAAACGTTCTACAATGGACCTTGGCGGTCGCCATTGTTTGGACGCGAAGCGAGTGATTGGATCCGAGCCGTCGCCGAACGATGACGTTACACTCGCTTTCAACACGAACTGCGCCGAGGTCGCGCCGAACGCTGACCAATACATGCTCAGGGTGCGTCATTGAGCACGGCGGGGAGGCGTTGGCCCGGTCTTTTGAAAAGGGTCCACTTCAAGGATAAAAGCGAGCCTTTTTCTTTAGATCTCTCTTTCACAAAACTTGATGGCGTTATCTTGGAGGCCGCAGTGTTGGCATCTCCGAAGTGACGACATTCGAATGCGGCTCATAGATTGGATCCGAACATTGCTTGAGCTGCCGATTTGGGCTCGTGATAACCAATAGCTCGAGAAAGCGTTCTGGTAGTGAGTGGCTCGTGTCCAATCGCTCCAAAGCCGACAATAGCCGAACCTTAATAATGTCCAGAATTCTGCGCGTGTATTGTGCTTTGCCGACCCCAGCGCGTGGTTATAATAAGCATTGGGGGTACATATTCGGCACTAGATCACGTGGCAGCTTGTTCTGGCTGCTTTGTTGAAGGGGTGAACGCTAATTAGGGGCGAGATGTTTCGGTGGCGCCCTCGTTCGGTTACCTTTCCTGACGTCATTACCTTGTGAACAACAAGTTCGATGGTGTTTGTAATGGGTATGGTGGAAGCCTGAAATCATAGCGCTCTCAAAGTAACACTGCCAACACCATTCTTACATTCCTCTTATTTCCGTCGATGAGGCATCCTTTCTGTCGTCATAGTTAGCATTCGGCCAATTGGGATGGGCCGACCACAGCGACGCTTTCGATCGCTCACGTCGCCAATAGTCCTTTCTTATTATTTTTTTTTTTCGACTACCATTGCGTGGGGAGAAAAGCTAACGCGTGCTTCATAGATTATACTGGTCAGGGATTCATTCAAAGTCGTATTTGCGCAAAGTACAAAAACATAGTCGCACCGCCCCTTTAAAGGAGCGGTGCAACGATATTCAATTGTAATGTTTTTCACTCTACACGAGCTTACTGGCACACCTGGGACTCAAGGATACTCACACGCAACGCCACTGGCCAAGAAACTCATTTGTTGCGGTGTAACTTCAAGGACAAACGCGATCATTTTCATTCAATCTCTCCTTTGCAAAATTTGATGACGTAACGTGGGGATCGCAGTACACCCAAGTGACGATATTTGAATGCGGTTCATAGATTGGACCCGAGCATTGCGTGGGCACTCGACTTGGGCTCGTGATAATTGCTAGCTCGAGAAGCATTCGGGTAGTGACCCGGGTCCAATCGCTGCAACGACGACAACAGCCGAGCCATAACAATGTCTGGAACTCAGCGCGTGTCCTGCTCTTTGCCAACCCCATCGCGTGGCTATGATCAACACTGGCGGCATATAATCGGCTCAAGATCACGTGACCGCTTGTTCTGGCTGCGAGTTGAGGGGGTGAACGCTGCTCGTTTTTCTTTATTTTTTTTTTTTTTTTTTTTATGACTTCTATTGCGTGGGGCTAAAAACGAACGCGTGTTTCATAGGTCTTTAACGTCAGGGATCCGTTTTAAGGGGTATTTGCGCCAAGTACTAAAATTGTTGCATAGCTCCTTTAATGTATAGTCACAATCGAAGTGACCGATTCGAGACCATAGAGACGCTCGTTGCCCATGGGTTTCTATGGACCTTTTTAGTGCTTGCGCACCGCGCAAGAATGCGCATGGTCACTAGGCGAAGGAGAGTTACTGCGCGCGTTCGACGCGCGATTCGCAGACCATCGGACGGAATATTTTTGGAATGATCTACTAATAATCACTGACAGCCAATCTACCGGTTCTAACCATGCATCCTAAAAACCCGAAATTACACTCATGGGTGGCCGATTTCACTATTAAAGTTCTAATCGAAAGGTCGTGACACGCACACGCCCCTCTTTCTGCGCCTTGGAGCAGACACCAGGGGCGCCGTCAGACGGCGTTTTCAAACAACACTTTCTGTATTACGTCTCGTATACATCAACGACTACATTTATTTTTGATAGATCGTGCACAACGAGACTAAGTAGAGCAATACTAGTAGTGTTCGGAGTCTCGACGCAATTAACTATTTTCATTGGTCAAATTTTACGGAGGTAATGAAGAACCGAAGCTGTCGCCCCCCCCCCCCCCCCCCCCCTCTCCCGGCTTACCCCCTCCTCCTCCTCCTCCTCCGAGAAAATAGTGCCCGCGTATTTCTATCGCTGTGAGTTTATTAGGATGTATTACCATTTATAATTAATCATTTTTAAATGACTAAAGCCAAACAAGCAGTATGCCATCAAAAACAATCTTCTACAAAGTAGAGTAGCCCGTTAAGAAACGCGGAAAAGGCATATCTTAGGTTCACGCTTCTTATTTTGGGACGTGTTCTTCGACGTTCCTATTGGCTGATGCCACAGTCGGATTGGCCCGCCACGCAGCAATGATAAAGATGCCCGGGACCGCCACTACGGTGGCGCTGCTGTCAGTACTGCGCATGCGCAGTTGCTTCTCCTTTCGCCTCACGCGAGTCTGGTGTTGTCTGCGCACGTCCAGTACGCCCACACCCTGTGTGGGCAAAAACGGGCTTGCTTGCAGACATGATGCAGTGAGCACGAGAGACCTGGCATATGCGCGCAATTTTCACAATAATCGTCGCAGCATACAGCTGGAAAAAATACAGCCCAACTGGGAAAGTTCACTTTGCAGGTGGTGAGGTGTGACGTTTATGTTGTCAAGTAATGTTTTGTATTTTTTTTTTTTTTTTTTTTTTTAGGCAGCGGAGTAGTTTGCAGTAAACAGCAGTTAATGTGACTGGGAGACTGGGAAGAGCTGAAACGGCCACCGAGGTATGTTATCGCCATGATAGCACATACTAAAGATACGTACCCCACTTTATACATCCAGTAAATCACGCAATCGCGTACTGATAACCGGGGTACGCGGCAACAACTATTTATGTTTCTTTTTTTTTGTGTGTGTAGCGTTTAAATATGTCCTGCTGGTGCGAACACATACCAGCTTAGAACTTTTCGGTGCACACGGCCCGTGGAAAACCTTCACACATGAATAACAATTCTCCACACTATGCTATAAATATATATAGAAAATGCTCTTGCATGTGTACAAATACTTCTTTCTTGTGTTGTTTTTAATTTTGTTCTGTTTTTTGTTAGGGCCTCGCGTTGTTTTGCAAAGCACCCTCACGGCTTCTCCAAGCTCCCAAACTTCATCGATCGTAACAGCTCCTTAGCGTTTTTGTTTTTCAGTGAAAGATTTTAAAGCAGGCTTGAAACACCTATTGATACATAACTATGAGCCAGACATCTCATACAGTAAGCGCATTATTCTTTTCGAGGTATGTAGCGTTCCACATTGCTTCCTCGCATCAATGCGACACCCAGGGAGGGGTTGCAAAGTCTAAGAACACTCGATGTAACCCTCGCCTCCGAGTGTACCTGGCATCACGGACTGGTGCCTCCGGTGCCTCCTGCGAACCCTCCGCAGGCAGGTGTGGTAGAGGAACAGGTAGAGCAGGCCCACGCTGGCCGACACCACCGCGATGCCGCGGAAGGTGTTGCGCTGGCCGAAGGCGTCGTTCAAGAAGAAGCCGGCGATGCTGCCTGTGCCCCGTCCTGCGCAGTGTGAGATGGAGTGTGGAAGGCGGCGGCGGACAGATCCGGACTTGAAACGCCCTGGAGGAAACTGCGCGATTGAGCTGCACGCTGGCGGAGTTACCGCTTCATTTCTTACGTTACGAGAGCTGTCGGAATGTCACAACGGAAGCGGTGACTCCGCCACGCAAGCACTACACAGCGCTTCGTTCGATGCAAAATGCACCAACGTAACCAGTCATGAAAAACAAAATTCCAGATTGTGTTGCGAATGAGCTGGACACATGCTTTGTGTGTGTATGTGTGTGTGTGCGTATGTGCATGTTTGTGTGCGTGTGTGTGTGTGACATCACATGACGCCATGAGGTCACGCGACTTCAGATGTCACGGCCTTTGTGGTGTCACGAGGAGTCATGCCACGTGACTGACGTGAGTCACGAGAAGTCACGCAACATCATGGTGTTACGTGGCTTTACGGAAGCACACCGTGTCACATGTTTTTTTTTTTGTGTAACGCTCGAACGAAACGCTCTAATATGACGATTTTCTCATGAAATTCGGTTGATAAAACACATTCTGTGTAAAAAAAAAACAATACTGCTGGAAAAGCCGGATCTTCCTTCCAGTTCCGTCAGAAAAGCACCCTAATGCCTAAAAACAAGTCATAAAAAAAAGAATACATGTATATTTCCTGTTCCTCACCTATGCAGAAATGTAGGATGATGAGAACACACTGGATGGTCAGCCGCTGCTGAACGGAAACCAGCTTCTGCGCGTAGGCGACCAGCGCCACCCAGAGCACGGGCAGAGTGAACGTTTCCATCGCTTCGAACGGCGTGGTCCACCACCGGGCAGTGACGAAGGACAGTCCAGCCGCCCTCGTCGCGTAGAAGAGAAACCCGAACACAACCAGGTTGGCTCTCCCGATGTTCCTAACCAGGTTCTTGGCGATGGCCAAGAATGGCAAGGCACAGCCCATGGGCAACGCCAGCGACAGACCGACCAGCAGGTGACTGGAGCCCATCTCGGAGTACATCCAGTGCAGATAGGTCTCAAGATAACCCCATATGATTCCCAGCAAGAGGACAAGGAACAGCAAAAAGGTCATGTCAAGGGAGCAGAACCGAGGCTCTTGTCCCAGGCCGTAGTGGAGGACCTGGTTTACCTTCTTGTCCTCGACCGCCGGAAGAACAGCTACGAGGGCGCAAGCTACCAGGGCGAGGCCGTCGAAGACAAAGAAAGCGGGCGAGAAGTCAGGTCCGCCGCCGGTTACCTCCGTGTAGTAGTCGATGAGGACGCCCGTGACTGCCGAAAAGATGGTCATGCCCAATGCGCCCCAAAACTTGATTCGACCGTAGAGTCCGTTGAAGTCGTTAATGGACAAGATGGTGACGGCTTCGATGAGGTAGAAGGACGTCACCAACCACAGGTCCGCGAAGACTCTCAAAGCTAGCGTCGCCCAGAAGGTGGTTTGTGGGTCGCCCTTGATCTCGACGCAAGGCGCCGAGTGCATGCGACGTCCCAGGTTGTCGGCGACCGCCACCGAGCAGCGGATGATGCAGCCGTCGGGATGTGGCCGGCACTCGTAGTCTGCGAACTGCTTCTGGTTCACCACAATGGGCGCCAAGAGGTCGAAGCTGCACACGTCGATGAGGTCGTCGCTCCTCTTGCTGCCGTGGTCCAGGAACTTGCCGGCACTCACGTCGTACAGCGTTCTGGCCGTACTCGCCAAGAAGCTGGCCCCGAACTCCGTGGTCGAGTTGTCCCGGGTCCCGGCCTCGTGGATGATGCAAAGGTTGCCCTCGTTACTCAGGAAGCAGAAATGGATGGGCTGCTTGACAGCCGTCTGGTTCTCGCCGCACTGGTAGTGACAGTTGGAGACCCGGAATGTTGCGAGGCCGAGGGGGTTGAGTTCGGAGCCGACGCAAGAGTCCCATTCGGGACATCGTTCCAGGAAGAGTCCAGAAGGACAATCGAATTCCACCAGCGGATTCCGAGGACTCCTGACGACCTTGGGTACACCAAGCAGCGCCGTGTAGCCGGCTCCGGAGAACACCAGGGAAAGAACCAGGAGCGACTTGTAGGCAGAATGTCTTTCGGATACGAGGCCGACGACAACGGGACCCAGAAGGCTGCTGAACGCTGCCGCTGTATTGATGATTACAGCCTCTTCGTCGGAGAGACCGAGAGATCTTAAGTGCAGACTTAAGAAAGGTGTCAGGCATCCAATTGCTGAAAGACAGAGAGAGAAAGGGAGAGAGAGAGAGGTGTCTTGGTCTTAGGATCTTAACAGAAACAAAACATGCAATCAGAATGCAAAAGTTATAAAGCTTCTAAATTCTGTGCTTAACTTTTCACTTTTTTCAACGGCAGCTCTGAAAGACTTCGTATGTGTCGATTACAGCACAGACAAACCGTTTCTTTCCAGTTTTTTTACGTAATGGTTGATTCTCTTGTATTGACAGACTATACTGTCCATGGCTTGCACGTAACATCGTCGCACCATGCAGATGATGGTGGTTAACTTTTTATTGAACGATCAAATGCTGGGCGGTTACTATTTACTATTTAGTATGGCCCAGTGGTCACGATGGTGGAAAGAAATGACGATGACAATTCCTGATTGTTCTTGCCAAAAAAAAAATTGATGCTGCGAAATGTGTGTTGCAAAAGGAATACGATAGTAGCAAGGCCACAACAATTACCACTAATGTGACGTTAATGCAGGTCAAGTACAGAAGCTGAGGGGTATTCAATCGGCATTTCACCGCTAGCGAGCTGCCTTCCATGGTGCTTTTGGTGCCCATGAGGTCCGGTAACAAACTAGGGATCTCAAGCGTGATGAAGCAGCCAGGGCGTTTACATTGAAGGCGGAAAGACGGTAACAGACGCTCCGCTCCTTCTGACCTATTAGCAATTGGCGATATACCCAACATAAAGGTTTTTGCGAAGCCGAAGACGAGTATTGATTAGCCAGTCTGCTCTAGAGCATGTAGGCTTGACTTACACTCCGGAAGACGCAACAGGTAAACAGCACGACTGGATCGCACGCGGGTTCGCAGCACTATCGATGGTCAATAATGGAATAAAAATGATGGAGTAAACACGGAGAATAGAGGAGAAGTGACTTACCTGAAAAGAAGAAGAAAGTAATGGCCATAAGCGGAAGTAACTTCCGCAGGCGGGGACTGACTGTCATGATGGAGGCTTTTGGTCTTCGTTGCACCTGCATATGTCAGAAGAGACGGGTTCTTCGATCAAATTTTCATGCGTGAATCTTTCACACCGCGTCCAGTTTTACGTTGACAAAAATGTACATCACGTCCCTCCCATCTGTTATTTCACACGAGATATTCAACGACACACCGCACAACACAAAACAGCTAGGACTGCGAATTGCGGAAGTTTGCCATATACGTAAAAAGAAGTTTCGGGTGTGCATAAATCCCAAACACCGCAAAGGACTTTCTTTTCGGGGGCTCGATATTTCGCGAACTTTTCCCCGAAATGTTGGTTTCGGGAATATTTCGCGGGTATGACATTTCACGACTGGGAGTGGTTTGGTATGTATTCATTGCACAGGGCAGTATATTCGCGGGATTCATTTTTCTTGTTATCATCCGAGTCATGAAATTCGCGAGAATTAGGCCCTCGCTAAAATGAAGTCGTATATGGTATTTAGAAGTTTTCTTTCCTGTTCTATTTGAATACAAACTGAGTTTGTATTCAAGTTCTGCTCTGGGAATGTCGCTTCTCCGCAGCGCATCGGTGTCGCGGGGGAAGCGTACTTAACGGCGCTTTCCCTAAACGTTTTTTACACCGAGTTCGATGTTCGAACTTACGATTATAGAAAGTTCGAAAAAAAAGCTTTACGTAGCATCTGTCGATACGATGCTCGAATAAGATCGTTCGTCATTAGAATAGATAGTTTCGAACTGCGATAACTGACGATAACTGCAGCGCGCTCACCGTCATATAAACCCAGTAGTGTAGCGCGGCTCGAGTTCTTTCGGCGGGGAAAAAAGACAAGTAAATCTTGCAAAACATTAGAACACACAGATATAGTGTATGATTGAAAAAATAAATAAATAAATGAATTAATATTTTAGCGTGAATCCCGTCGGGGATGTAAACCGTCATTTTGCTTGCTCGAACAATAAGGCGTTGTGGAAAACATCGATCCTATCATATTTTTACGATTTACCCTCCTTGAATTTCTATTTATCCCTACCTTTGGACACTACCATTACACTACACTACTATTATTATTATTATTATTATTATAATTCTTACTAATATTATAATAACCGATCGATTATTATAATAGCCGACCGACGAAAAATCCGACCGACAGTTTCCTCTTTGACGATCGGCATTGTTCCATTTTCAATACGCAAACGATACCGCACTTATCTCTCGCCACCTTAATTATGACAGTGCAGTACAGCCACTGAATAATGAATCGGTACAGGTAATGAACTGGATCGATTAAAATCTAATTAAAATTAACATGTCCAAAACACAACTGATCTGCGAACCCACTAAAACATGTAGATGCTCACTCGTACGTCATTTTACACAAATCAAATGCCCCTACTGTAAATGTCTCCCGCTGTAATGCATTGATAGCGTGAAGTACTTGGGTGTATCTTTATACTCAGATACGTCATAAACTACGGATCTGTCATACGCATATAAAAAAAATCAAAGCGTTAGTTATTAACCTTTTGATCGAAAAATTTTCGAGGCCTTCACCGTTAGAAAATCGATGTCGCATGCCATTGGCTACAGTGTACTCAGGTACGGGATTACTTTGTTCGTTGACTGTACAGAGTTATGGCAAAGCAAAACTGATCCTATTCCGAAAGGCCTTTTGAAAGTCGTTGAATACCAAATGGATTTTTCACCTGACTCGAACATTTTCGAAACGCTACAACTGCCCGATTTCCATTCACTAACTGCGCAAAGTGTCCTACTTCGTAATTTTTTGCCCGATGGCTACAAAATTTCCTCTGCTAAGTTCTAAAAGAACTCTTGTCAGACATCTCGTTATGTAACGCATCGATGTTTCACGCGTCATGGTAAACGAGTCCGTGCCTATTATGTACCTTTCATTTTCAATAAGCTTCCGGAAAACATTCTCACAAATACAAAAAAAAAGTAAAAAAAAAAAAAAGTTATCTAATATTAGGATATAATGTACCCTGGATTTGTTTATTTTTGGCGTTCTTAACACCATTTTGGATATGTCTATTTATTTTGCTTTGTGTGACCGCGCGAACTAACAAACGGACTCAACGTACGAATAGACGTGTTATTTCGTTTCTTTTATGATAAACGATTCAGTGCTAGTGCGGCCTTTCTTCGCCAATCGGCACGCACACCGATTTTGACAACCCGTCCCTTTCCGATCCAACTATAGCAAAATTTTGTACTGCGTAGTTTATTTAGTTCCCTTCAAGCTGCAACAACTCTCGCAGCAACTACTTCAGCTTCTCGGCTGCACTCTGGCGAGACACGCGGTCATCTGCGTGTGTTCGTGCGTGCGTGCGTGTGTCTATGTGTGTCCGTACGTGCGTGTTCTCCGCACGCACGTGCTTCTGTGCTACCGTCTTCTCTGCTACCTTTGAATGTTAGGTCTGGTCCTACAAGTCCTTGCTGGCTTGGACCAGTCCCGAAAACTAAACTTGCTGCATCTACGCTTGCCATTAAAGAATTTTTTTTTATTATTATTCTTATTATTATCTCGCATCAGAGGCAGGTGATGTCATGCCTCAGTCATTTCATTTTTATTTTATTTTTTATTTAAGTAAAAAAAAAATTACAAGTCCCCTAGAGGCCGGCTATTGGAACGATGAATTACGTGAGTATTCAAAATGGCAGCTAAGCCAACAATCACCTCCTCCATCCAAGGTATTTCTATTAAAAAGAAATGGGAGAATTCGTGCATTTTATAGCAGGACAACAAGCAACTCGGGTAAAGCCATACGCATTCCATTACCTGGCGATGTTACGTAACATAAATATTAAATAGATTGTCTAAAAAAAAAAAGAAAAAGCGGAACTGGAAGTCATTAATCTTCCGTGGGGTGGCACCCACGACACCTAGTACGAAGAACTCACGCACTACAAAAGATGGACTTCACATTAAAGTGAGCTAGATGGGAGGATTTGGACAATGTGAAGCCGGAAAATAATCCGGAGAGAATAAATTGTTCTTAACCCCCCCTCCCTCCCCCTTTCACCCCTCCCCTCCCCCGTCGTGTGGTATACAAAGACAATTTAATACCGTGCGGGTATGTCTAAACGAAGATGGATTTCCCGCAACATACTGGGTACCCGGATATGCACGTCTTGAATGAATAGCGGGGAAGCTCCCGTTTGCCGACTGATGATCCCGCCTAAAACATTAAAAACCAACTTGAAAATAAAAATAAACGAACGAAAATAGGGTTGTGTTTCTGCCGTGCTTCGATACAGACAACCGTATCTTCCCGATCATAGTCCGCGAACTAGAGACGCTTAAAGGTCGGCATTTTCTATGTCACCCTACATGAAGCTGACGTTATCGCCACGGCGAAACTTTTTTTAGCGGGTATTGGTCGAGGGGACCGACTACTTGGGAGGGGAGGCGCGAATGAGGAAGAGGGAACACGAGAGGGGAAAGTTCGCCCGACAACGTCGGCCGGTCGACCACACTCGTCGGATTCTAACTCTACACGTTAAATGACCCGCAGGCCCGCGATCGTTGCGTCAGAATCATCTCCGTGCGTGCGACAGAACGGGCTGCCTAAACCCCACACCGCCGAAAAAAGACCGCAGTAAAGTCGCCCGCGACCTCTAAATGGCTCGCAGGTCAGACGGCGACCGTCGACAAGTCTGTGACGACGACACCGAGAGTCATCGCGGGCACACACACACACACGCACGCGACAAGTTGTGACACCAACTTCAGGATGCAAAATGTCCCGGATTACCTCGGGGGTTACGACACCCGTCCGAAATAAGAAATGTCGACGGGGGGCGTAAGGACCGGCCGTCGCCACTGCGTCGTCTGGACAGCGACTCGAGCGCTCGTTTCTCGGGCCTGGTCCCTCGGGCGCGACAAACACAGAAGCTTGTCAAGTGACGTAACGCAAATGGGGGCAATTTTCACCGCTATACAGTTACAGAGAGCTGAAGAAACGTAGGGCTTATAATATGCACGATTTTTTTTTGCTACGTCATTCCTTCGGTGTTCTCATCGACTAATGCAGAAACGCCGCCTTGCCTTTCTTTAAGCTCAGTGACCGCAGTTCGTTTTCGCAACCATGTTCTAGGGCGCTCGTTAGTGACACTCCAGTGAGCAATAACGATGCATTTGACACGTTTATACGATCAGTGTGTTTGTCGCTTGTTCGCTTACTGTGACAGATGATGACAGCAGTGGACGCGGACACCTCTCAAGCATATTCGGAACCTATGATTGTTTCGTCGTGACTGCAGCGCGAACACCGCATGCATTTTGTAAGATCTGTAATACGAACAGTGAGACTGTGGGTTTACACATCGCCGACATGATGTATAACGCCGGGACACGGAGCGCTGTGGTCCCGGTGACCTCCTCAGAAAGATTGCACAAACAGAACATTGTTTTCTTTTTGTTGTTGTTTTTTTTCGCGAGGGAAAAGAGCAAGAAAAACAAAATGCAGAGTCGACACCTTCGACTCCATCCCACACACATAATATGTCGTGCCGGGTGACCATCTTGGTCGATTTGGCGCGCACTGCGCATGCTCCCCAGGTGTTGGCGAAGATGGGTGCGTGTAAACATCTTCGGAACGCGCTGGAAAGGGGGGGGGGGGGGGGGGGGGAGGTAGGTAGGAGGGAAAGGCTTGCCCCTAAAACCGCTCCGAGCGGGAAGCGACCGACCTTGCTGCATAATTAAGTGGCGAACGCGGCCAAAGGTCAGCATGCCCCGACGCGTCGCCCCGTGGGGATGTTGTCCCACGTCGCGCTGAGGCGTCGACGGCGTTATATTGGCGTGTTCGCGCGGTCAGCAAGTCTGCGTCGGCGGCAACTCCCCAATGGCAGAAAGAAATACACCAAAGCACACTCTTTTCGCACTCCTATATATAAAGTATATATACAAGCTCGATCGTGCTGACAAACACTGGGGAGCAGAAAATGCTTCGAGCGCAAACTACCACCTGGCAGAAATTGACACGTCCCATAAAGGTCACACCG